AGGTGTCTGCTTGAGTCCGTACAAGCTCTTCTTCAATTTGCAAACCAAGTGTTATTTGCCCTTTACCTTGAAACCCTCTGGCTGGTCCATATAGATTTTTTCTACCAAATCATCATTGAGGAATGTTGTCATCTAACTACTCAACTTCAAGGTCTTAAGAAGCAACAAGACCAAGAATAACCCGAACAGAAGATATCTTTACAACAGTAGAAAAAATTCATAGTCAACATCTTGCTTCTGACTGAAACCTTTCACCACGAAGCGAGCTTTGTACTTGACTTGGCCATTTCCTTCATTCTTGATTTTGAACACCCATTTATTTTTAAGGCTTTTCTGTTCTTAAGTAGCTCTACCAAGTCATAAGTGTGATTCTTATGCAAAGAATCCATCTCCTCTTGCATAGCTTTCTTCCATTTTGCACCCAAGTCATAAGTGTGATTCTTATGCAAAGAATCCATCTCCTCTTGCATAGCTTTCTTCCATTTTGCACGATCATCATGAACTTGTGCTTCATGACAAAGAATCCATCTCCTCTTGCATAGCTTTCTTCCATTTTGCACGATCATCATGAACTTGTGCTTCATGAAAACTTTTCGGTTCACTTGTATCTGTTACCATAGTATACTCTGAAGCAGGGTATCTAGTTGAGGGTTGATGTTCTCTCTCTCTCTCTCTGACCGTCTCAACTGAGGTACTTGTGGCTAATCCATATATGGTGGCTCTGCGTGTTCATGCCCCCTGATCAAGACCTGGGGAACCTGCAATTTCTTCTTCTTACACATATTGACAATTATTATTTTTTAGCATGGGAGAAGGATAAATAACTAGTGTAGAGATTGAATCTGGGACAATATGAGTGTTTTGTGGCTCCTCTTTTTTACAAACTCAGCAAGTGTTTTATCTTCACAAAAAACAACATACATGCTCCTCACAATTTTCTTATTTTTAGGATCTCACAAGCTATACCCAAATTCATCATTTCCATATCCTAGTAAGATGCATGGAATAGCTTTATTATCAAGCTTTGTTCTTTTCTCCTTAGGTACATATACAAATACCTTGCACCCGAACACCCGCAAGTGAGAATAAGAAATATCATTTCCACTCCAAACTCTTTTAGGAATATCTCCATCCAAGAGAAGGGGGACAAGTTTATCAAGTAGCAGGTTGTTCGTACTGCTTCTCTCCAAATTATTTTTGGTAATTTAGCTAAGGATAGCATACTCCTTATCATTTCCACAATTGAGTGGGTCATTCTTTCTGCAATCCCATTGTGTTGTGGTGTGTGTGGAACAGTCTTTTGGTGTCTAATGCCATAAAAAGAATAATAGTCTTCAAACATCCTTGAAGTATACTCACCACCATTATCAGTGTGAATACACTTCAAGAGCTTTCCAGTTTCTCTTTCAACTTTGGTATGAAAGTCTTTGAAAACTTTAAAGACTTAATCTTTGGTTTTTATGATATATACCCACACCTTTCTAGATGCATCATCTATGAATGTCACAAAGTATGAGGCACCACTAAAAGTTTTTTCATTTATGGGTCTGTATACATCCTAATAGACTAAGTCCAATATGCTAGTTTCCTTTTTGTTATAATTTTTAACAAAAGCTACCTGGTGTTGTTTTCCAATCAAGCAGTGATCACAGTGAGATAGTGTTGTACCTTGCATGGATGGAAGTAATTATCGCCTTGCGAGAGTTTGTAGCCCTTTTTCGCTCATGTGGCCAAGCCACTTGTGCTACAAATCCATAGAAGTACATTCTATTGTTCTAAGTTCATCATTCTCTAAGTGAAACTGGGTCTTATAGAGAGTGCAACACTTCTTTCCTCTCGCTAATACAAGCGATCCTTTGGTAAGGTTCCAACATCCTTTACCAAAGTTTCTTGTGTATCCTTCTTCATCAAGCTTGCTGGTGGAGAGAAGATTGAGACAAAGATCAGGCACAAATCTAACATATTTTAGAACCACATTTGTTCCAAGGTTAGTAGTAACAGAAATATTTCCAATTCCAAGAATTTGAGAAGAGTTTTTGTTACCCATTTTTACCATTCTTGAGCTTGCGGAATTCCCGTTTTATGTGCCCATTCTTCTCGTAGTGATAGCAACTAATGTCCTTTCTAGCCTTTGATTTTCCTCTTGACTTGTCTCGATTCTGAGACTGTCGATATTTGCTATTCTCCCTATTTTCGGTAACAATAGCATGAGAATGGGAGGATCCGGATGACTTTTTTTGTATTTCTTCATTCAAGAGGCTGCTTGTACTTGGTTCATGGATACAACTCCGTCAGGTGTGGAGTTGCTAAGAGACACCACCAGCGTCTCTCAACTATCTAGTAACGAGCTAAGCAAAAGAAGGGCTCGAAGTTCATCTTCCAACACCATCTTTATGGTTGTAAGTTGATTTATAATACTTTGAATTTCATTCAAATATTCAGATATAGAATCATCTTCCTTGAACTTGAGATTGACAAGCTTCTGAATCAAGAAAGCTTTGTTGTCGGCGGTCTTTCTTTTATAGAGATCTTCAAATTTCTTCCACAAGTTGTTCGCCGAAGTCTTATTTGACACATGATGGAATACAGTGTCATCCACCCATTGCCGAATGGTGCCAATGGTTTTCTGGTCGAGCTTCTTCCAATCATCCGCCATCATGGACTCTGGCTTAGAGGATTCACCTTCAACTGGCGCATAGAGGTCCTTGCAATATAGAAGATCAATCATATTTGCTTTCCATATCATCCAATTGCGACCATTCAAACTGATCATTCGAACACCGCCGATGGGAGTCTCCATCTCAACACAAGAAGATTAGCAACATTGCTCTGATACTATTGTTGGGAAATAAACATGACAACAAGGTATTTCCCGTCTTTGTGATGAGATGAGAATAAAAAGAATAGAAGAGAAAAAGAAACAGAGAGAAAAATTGCACACACACACAAGATTTACCGAGGTTCTGCTCAATTTAAGCCTACGTCCTCACCCGCCCCTTCTTCATTGTTTTCACTATAATCAAATGAAACCTTACAAAGGGTCTTCTCTCAAATTGGTATAACTTAACTTGAGGATCACTTTCTCTCAAACTCACTTGAGGATTACATGCAGGTTGTATGTGGTTGTTCTTCTTGCTTCTTGTTGTCAACCTTCACCATCTCCCCTCTATTTATAGAGAGGATATACCTCTTGGGTACACCACATTCGTTGCATGGAGAAGTCCAAAGACCATCTCTTCCTTCTCCCAATGCATGGAGAAAGACAATCTATCAATGTATGCAGAATATAAACATGTAGCCAACTTTCAAGTGCTTCAATACACCTTAGAATTTTCATGGATCAAATCCATATTAATTTATCACGGGGATGGACCCCCATTCCCATCAAGTTTAAATCCTAAAATCAAATAAAAAAATAAAAATCCATGCTCATCATTCCAAACATAAAAAATGAGAAACTCTTATATTTAAAATCATGGTGGTAAAATCGTGGGTGAGAGAAGAGAGGGATAGGATTTTGAGTTTGGTTGGCGAGTTACTTCAAAGAATTTTGTAGGGGTCAGAGATTGCGAGTGAGCTTGAGGATAAAAATTTATGGATTTTTGTGTATATGATATTGTGAGCTTTGATCTTGGGAGAAATGCATTAGTAGGGTTGAGAGAGAGAGAGAGAGAGAGAGAGAGATGGAGAGAGAGAAGAGGAAAGACATTGTTGAAAATTGAGGGATGAAAGAGATTAGACTTGAGGAAAAAGAGAAGATGAATTTAATATTTTTTTATTCTATTGGTTAGTTTGATGAGTATCTATCTAATAATTCTATTGGTTAGTTTGATGAGGACCTATCTAATAATGATTGGGTTAGTTGTGGGTGAGGGTAATAGCTCTGAATTTCTTAACTGGAATAAGGCTTGAATTTCTTATCTGGAGGAAAGTAGCTAATTTCTAGATTTGGATGGAGATGCAAGGATGATGGAGGTAGAATGGGACGAAGAAGAAGAGAGGATGAGGGTTAGGGTTAGGAGAGAGGATGATAAGACGGAGGAACAGCAATGTTAGCGGTAGAGTTGGTGGCTAAGATATGGGAAGAGGGTTTAGGGAGTGGATTGAGTTGAGAGAGAAAAGAGAGGGAAAATCTCACTATGCCTATGGACTCTATGAGAGAGAGAGAGAGAGAGAGCAATTATGTGGGGTATTTTTAGAATTTTTTTAAGGGCCGAATTACTTTTTTTTTGCAGTATAAAAGGGCCTGAATCACAAAAATACATTGTATTTAAGGTCAATACACAATAGAAATAATAATTGGGACCAAGGCACGTCAAGTTTTTATTTTTGAGGTCTTGGTACGATCTTTCCAAATTTTTAAAGTGTCTAAATCAAACAATTACCCCCAAAAGACAACTATTTGTCACGACCGAGGGTCTGGATTCAACAATTATCCTGAAAACACACGTCAAATTGGTGTCCAATTTAACATATAGACAGCATTATTTATACTATAAACCGCTGCTTATCAATTTATCTTGGCATTCCGTACGTAGGTGTAGTCTGTTGCATTGACCTTTGAATATCACATCCCACATTTCCCATAAAGAAAGTGTTAAGAAATATTTTTAATAAACTAATCATTCTCAACCATCTAGGGTAATAAATCAGTGATTTATTGTTGGACAATTTTAGTTCCTCCTCCATTTTCAAAATACACTCAAGGAAAGCTGTTCAAAGTTGTCAACTAGCTTAAATGTTACTCTGAACAAGGAACATAAACTGCTAATACATCGTGCTAGAGAACGGATTTATTCCCGCCAACAAAATCATAAATAAAAGAAAGAGACCTGAAATAATCAAACAATCTTCTCATTACCGGCAGTAGCTCTGTTTCAACAGTGTGTCCGATACGAACAACCAATTTTAAGAATGAAAGAACACAGTATAAACTTTGCAAATCCATCGCTTTTGCTACAAATTGACAGTTCACTACTTTTTCGTATCATCATCAAGTAGAAGGTAAATACCATATATTTACATGAAGGCAAAGGGTAACAACTATAATTCATTACGCACAGCAACACTGTATTCACCCAGCTTTCTGAATTTCAAAAACGCATCACTGATGAATACAACCACGGCCACAGTATAAATTTATATACACATAATGGACAAGGGAAATATAACCTTGAACATAGACACCACGCACGCAAAAAAGAAACCTGTGCTTGCGTAAGTATGCAGTTAAAATTTTTATCTATGTATATACAATTAACACCTCCATTCTGGTATTTGGAAGGACCCATAGAAGTCAGGATCTTATACGTCATACACAGGCATGCGCTCCTCAATTGAGACACGGCAGATGGGGCATTTCTTACACTTGTCAGAACAAGCCCTGCATAGGTACAGCAAAGTGCTAGTATTGAGACTAAATATTAACCAGGATGAGCAAGGATGAAGACGCTCTCAATGCCGAGAAATGAGAGCAAAATCAATCGTCAGACATCAGAGTAAAAAATTCAAAGGCATACTTGCATAGGGTGCGGTGTCGACATGGAAGAAGAACCATGCATATTTCCCCTTCAAAGCAAATTCTGCAGAGCACCTTTTCCTGAAAATAGATCGTAGAGAAAAAATGAAGGAATTCTTGCTGACAATCTCCAAGAAAAGTATGATGTGTGTTCATATGTATATAAGAAAAAGGATACAGTTATTAGCAATAACAAGATGCATTAGGAATTACTTGCATCTCGAACCAGCTCAATTATAAAACGTATCCAAACTCTCTCTAGCCTTGAAGACAGGACAACACCCACTTCAAACTCATCATCACCGCATCCTTGCAAGCTCACCACACTTTATGTCCTCATTACAACTTTTTTTTAATCACTTGATAAATGTGTGACCAAAGTTCAAATTTTAACGATAATGGGTTCAGAAACATGTCTAGGGTGAGGATGTAGAAAACTTATGAAATTTATATTGAACTTGAAATATAACTGGTTTCGAAACACATTTTGGGGTTAGGATATAGAGAAGGTAGGGAATGAATGGTCAAGGATCAGAAACCAACTCCTGAACCATTATTGTTTTTGATGTAAAATGATGGTGCAGGGTTTGCTAAATCAACTCATATGACTTTCAAGGGAACAGTAAATATTGCTTGTTTTGGGAGGGATATCAAAGTAAAGGCAGGCAGGTTTTAGCAAGCAAGTTTTAGTTCTTTGGACATAATAATAGTATCCAGATTAAAATGTCATTTTAATCTCCCCCATCGACTGTTCCCAGCAACCCCCTCTTCCTCCTCCACTTCCTTTCTCTCTGCTTACTGAAGTTCAACTACTAGTCGACCACCATCTCTTTCCTCATCCCCTTACCACAGTCAACCCCCACACTGCCCCTCTTGCTTTTCCTCCATTTCCAACCCAATATCACTTCCAATTTATTTGTGAGGATAGTAGTTGGACCATTGTGGATTGTGCCAAGGCATACAGTATAGAACCTTATTTTCAAGGATCAAATTTGCAATAGTCAGCCATACACAGAGAATGCAGATAATGCAACATATATGTGAGTGGGGGCCACCCTTCCGTAACCACGTGAATGAGGCGGATTTGTTTCCGCGTGGATTCGAAGCCGAAGCGAAGAGATACGAAGCCGAAGCCCACGAAGGCCCATGAACACTTTATATATATAGCTTGTTTTTTATTTTAGGTTTTGTGCGAAGGAGCAGGAGGTTTTGATTTCTTCTTTTTTTGCGGCTGCGGTACAGAACCGAGTGCAAGGCTTTGGAGACTTGATTGCTTTTGTGCGGCTACAAGCAAAGTAAAAGAGCTTTTGTTTGTTGTTTTGAGAGATATAATTGTGTGAGGGATTTGAGAGTTTGTGTGAGGGTTTAGATTGAGTGATTGTAAACTCTAGTTGTATTCTCTCCCTCTATTAGTAGATCTCTCCCCCTCCTTGCCCCGTGGACGTAGGCAATTTGCCGAACCACGTAAAAATTGGTTGAACTGATGAGAGGAAGAGCCGATATCTCACTTAGCCCAGATTTCAGATCTAGGGTTTTTTTGGTGGAGGAAGATTCTTGTGTGAAGCTTAGTTCTTGGAGTTCTCGGCTTCGGTGGAGATAGTATTAGGAGTTGCCGTTGGAGATTTCGCTTTCCTCGTGTGGATAGGAGATCTATTTGGAATCCGATCTAGGGTTCAATTGGGTGATTTCTAATTCTATCAAATTTGTTCTTTCTCTACAATTTGAAGTTAGTTTGCAATGGGAGAAGAAGGTGAAAGCAGCAAATCGATGACGAGTACAATACAAGTTGGTTTTCAGAACACTAAAATTAGTGTGGTGAAGTATGACGGTAAAATCAACTTTGGTTTGTGGATGAGCGACGTACAGGATGCGCTCAATGCTCAGAATTTGGAAGAGACCATTATGGTCCACGAAAGACCACCTAAATATGAAGAGGCGGTATGGGAGAAGATGAATAGGAACGCTTGTGGGGTGATCATGTCCTGTTTGGAACAGGAGCTGAAATATGATGTAATTGGGGTGACGTCTGCAATGAAGATGTGGGAAATTCTCAACAATAAGTATCTCACAAAGAGTGTTGAGAACAGGTTGCACTTGCTGCGAAGACTCTTCAGATTTCAGATGTCCAGAGGCACCTCGCTAGCGGCTCATGTGAACAACTATACAAAGTTGTTGTCGGACTTGGCGAATGTTGATGAGAAGATATCGGATGAGTACAAGGCGATTATTTTGTTGGGCTCCTTACCGGATGAGGAGTATGATACCTTCGTGCTCACTTTGTTGAACGGGAGATCTTCGATCAGCTATAGTGAAGTGACTAACGCATTGACCAATTACGATTTGAGGAGGAAGGACAAGGAGACTTCCCGCGCTAGTACTTCAGGAGAGGCCTTGTCGACAAGAGGTAGAAGCCCATATCCGAAAGGTGGTAACAGAGGGAGGTCAAAGTCTAGAGGCCGCCACCAATTAACAAAGAACCAATGTGCATTCTGCAAGGAGCAGGGACATTGGAAGAGAGACTGCCCGAAGCTCAAGGAGAAAGAGAATGGCAAGAAAAAGGGCCCGAAGGCCAATGAGGTGAACATTGCGAAAGGCGATGATTCCGATGATTCGTGTTTTTCTCTACTGATTACTCCGGAGGTGAACCATGTGGATGCATCAGATTGGATGCTTGATTCCGGCACTACTTTTCATGTGACCCCTAGGCGAGACTGGTTTGCATCTTTTGAGAAAGTCGACGGGGGTGTTGTTGTCATGGGAAATGATCAATCCTGTGGCGTTTGTGGGATAGGTACCGTGCGGATTAGGATGCACGATGGAGTAGTCCGTGAGTTGAAGGAGGTGAGATTTGTTCCTCAACTGAAGAAAAATCTTATCTCAGTTGGAGCTTTGGAGGCGAAGGGATTCAAGGTGACTTTCGAAAACGCTGTAGCGAAGGTTACTAAGGGATCATTGGTGGTGATGAGGGGAGTCCGCAATCGGAATTTGTATTATCTGAAGGGAAGCACCGAGATTGGCCAGGTTGCTTCGGCTATTTCAGAAGCGGACATGAGCAGACTTTGGCACTATAGGTTGGGGCACACAGGTGAAAAGTCACTGCAGGCATTGTGCAAGCAGGGGCTATTGAAGGGAGCCAAGAGTGGGAAGATTGAGTTCTGTGAGCACTGTGTTCTTGGCAAGAAGACGAAGGTGAAGTTCGGGACTGCCATTCATCAGACGAGGGGCATCCTGGATTACGTGCACACAGACGTTTGGGGTCCCACCAAGACTGCATCACTTGGTGGTCGACATTGGTTCGTCACTTTTGTAGATGACTATTCTAGGCGTTGTTGGGTGTACACCATGACGAAGAAGAGTGAAGTCCTAGATTTGTTTGTGGAGTGGAAGAAGAGATTGGAACTGCAGACTGGGAGAAAGATCAAGACGTTGCGATCCGACAACGGTGGTGAGTATACTTCTGACCCCTTTCAGCAGCTATGTCGAGACGAGGGCATAGAGAGACACTTCACAGTTAGTCATACACCGCAGCAAAATGGGGTGGCAGAGAGGTTGAATCGGTCTTTACTGGAGAAGATCCGATGCTTATTGTCGCAGAGTGGTTTGGAGAAGATCTTTTGGGCTGAGGCACTTACATATGCGAGCCACCTCATTAATAGGCTGCCTTCATCTGCGATTGAGGGGAAAACCCCTATGGAGATGTGGTCGGGAAAGCCAGCACATGACTATGACCAGCTCAAGGTATTCGGGTGCCCTGCATATTATCATGTTAGAACTGATAAATTGGAACCTCGAGCTAGGAAGGCCATATTTGTAGGATTCAAGCGTGGTGTCAAGGGATACAAGCTTTGGGATCCAGTTGATAAGAAGATTGTGCTGAGTAGGGACGTCACGTTTGATGAAGCTTCTATCTTGAAGCTTCCCAGCTCTCATCAGGTGGAGAGCGACCCGACGGAGGAGATATCGCAGGTGGTGGAGATCGATGCAGCTCCACATTGTCCAGATGGTACAGTATCCATGCAGGTGCCGACTGAGGTGACGCCAGGCGAGCACGACGATGACACGGAGGATACGAGTACAAATGTGCAGGATCAGGAACCGACGGCTCAGGTTCAGGATTCTATTGCGGTTCGGAGACAGAGGAGAAACATACAGATGCCAGCACGGTATGCCGACACAGTTGCGTATGCACTTTCGGTGGAGAGTATCGATGAAATGGTGCCTACTACATTCAGAGAGGCCGAACAGAGTTCGGGGGCTGATTCGTGGCAGGTGACTATGCAGGAGAAGATGGAATCTCTTCATAAGAACGATATATGGGAGCTTGTGGAGCTTCCAAAGGGGCGGAAGGCAATTGGTTGCAAGTGGGTATACACAAAGAAGAAGGACATTGAGGGCACTTCATTGAGGTTCAAAGCTAGGTTAGTTGCGAAGGGCTATGCACAGGAGGAAGGTATTGACTATAATGAGGTTTTCTCTCCGGTGGTGAAGCATTCTTCGATTCGGACTTTGCTAGCTTTGGTGGCACAGTATGGTTTGGAGTTAGATCAGTTGGATGTGAAGACGGCATTTCTTCATGGTGATCTTGATGAAGAAATATATATGACTCAGCCATTGGGATTTCGAACTGCAGGGAAGGAAAAATTAGTTTGCAAACTGAAGAAATCGCTATACGGTTTGAAGCAGTCTCCTCGACAGTGGTATAGGCGATTCGATGGTTTTATGCTTGGTCATTCGTACACTCGGAGCCAGTTTGATCCTTGCGTATATTTTCGTAAGTTGAAAGGAGGTGCGTACATTTATTTGTTGCTCTATGTCGATGACATGTTGGTTGCCTCTATTTCCAGGTCGGCTATAGATGAATTGAAAGTTCAGCTATCAAATGAGTTTGAGATGAAAGACTTGGGTGAGGCGAAGCGCATTCTAGAAATGGAGATCGGCAGAGACAAGAAGAATGGCAGAATTTGTTTGACACAAGTGGCTTATTTGAAGAAGGTTCTACAGCGATTCCATGTTAGTATGGATACGAAGCCAGTTAGTGTACCTTTGGGAGCCCATTTGAAGCTTTCAGCTGGTCTTTCACCAAAGTCAGTTGAAGATCATGAGTTGATGTCGAAGACTCCATATGCGAGCGCAGTTGGGAGCTTGATGTACGCGATGGTATGTACGAGGCCAGATTTATCACAGGCGGTAAGCATGGTATCGAGATACATGCACGATCCAGGAGTGGGTCATTGGGACGCCGTGAAATGGATTTTGAGGTACATTCGAGGTACGCTCAATGTTGGTTTAGTTTATGAGCGGGACACTACAGGTGGGCAGCTATGCATTGGCTATGTTGATTCGGATTATGCCGGGGATTTGGATAAACGCCGGTCTACTACGGGGTATGTGTTTACTTTGACCCGTGCGCCAGTATGTTGGAGATGCACCTTACAGTCGACGGTGGCTTTGTCTACGACAGAGGCAGAGTATATGACGGTTACGGAGGCTGTGAAGGAGGCTATTTGGCTTCGAGGACTTTTGGAGGAACTTGGTATATCGCAGAGGTCCGTCACTATTCATTATGATAGCATGAGTACTATCTATTTGGCGAAGAATCAGGTTCTTCATGCAAGAACGAAGCATATTGACGTTCGTTATCACTTCGTTCGGGATGTTCTTGAAAATGGCGATGTGAAGATTGTGAAAGTCCACACGAAGGATAATCCAGCAGATATGCTCACAAAGATGGTTCCGAGCAACAAGTTTGATCATTGTCGAAACTTGTTGCACATTCGTGATTGTTAAGGCCATTGGCGGCCATTTGGGTGAACTACGTTCGGCTTGATTCCTTGGACAAGAGGATACGTAGGCAGTCATGTTTGATGCAGCCGGGTTGGATTAGTTGATTTTGATGGGGATGAGATTGTTTGGACTCTCGTTCGGGTTCTCGACTTGTTGTGGATTGAGTTCGTACTGGACACAATAAGTTGAGACATTTGGATGCTATGGTGTCGGCTCAGTTTTGGGAAAACTTCACCGAGGTGGAGAATTGTGAGTGGGGGCCACCCTTCCGTAACCACGTGAATGAGGCGGATTTGTTTCCGCGTGGATTCGAAGCCGAAGCGAAGAGATACGAAGCCAAAGCCCACGAAGGCCCATGAACACTTTATATATATAGCTTGTGGAGGTTTTGATTTTTTTTTTTTTTGCGGCTGCGGTACAGAACCGAGTGCAAGGCTTTGGAGACTTGATTGCTTTTGTGCGGCTACAGGCAAAGTAAAAGAGCTTTTGTTTGTTGTTTTGAGAGAGATAATTGTGTGAGGGATTTGAGAGTTTGTGTGAGGGTTTAGATTGAGTGATTATAAACTCTAGTTGTATTCTCTCCCTCTATTAGTAGATCTCTCCCCCTCCTTGCCCCGTGGACGTAGGCAATTTGCCGAACCACGTAAAAATTGATTGTACTGTTTTTGTGTGATTTGTAATAGCTTTTAGGATCCCTCGACAGGTCAGTCCTAGAACTGATGAGAGGAAGAGCCGATATCTCACTTGGTTGAGATATCCGCTTCAGATTCTTGTCTCCTTGGTGAGACGGGAATTCTTATTGCGATCTGACTCTCTTGTTATGCTGCCGAAGTGCTGCCGAAATTTCCGCTGCACGCAAAATGAACACTTATAAGATTGTGATATATTAGATATAAATAAGATGATGGAGTGTACATACAGGATCTCAGGGAGTCTTGTATCTCTATATAACAAGAAAAGAGCTCATATTCGTATATGGGATATGGGAAATTGAAAAGCCTCGACTCCAAATAAGTCCTAGACTTCAACCTTCTTTCTGTTTATAATTTGTTTAAGGACTCCAAAATTATTTATTAATTAGGGGGATCACCACCTAGAGTACCATACAACATTGAAGGAGAAGGACAGGGAAGGTCAAATGAATAAGTCAATGAAGAACAGCAAAAACCATAGTAATTGAACTCAAAAGTTAAAAACAATAGAATGAAATTTCTGGATAGGCCAATTATTTTTGAAAGTCTTGAGATGATCATAATTTTAGGCAGGTAGATTATCTGTCTGATATTAGTAAATGCGGCCATGATAAAAGACAAAATCACCTAGAATGTAGTGCGAGATAAATCTCTTTAAGATATGCATATGCCAGACCGCAAACCTTAATTAATCCCAAGAAATAATACAAACAAAGCAGAAAAGGCAAACAGGTGAGTGTTTAGTATAGATCTGATCAGATCTTTGGGATGGATCAGATCAAGCGAGAAAAATATATATACATGGGCAAGACAAGGAGTAATACATTTTGAAGCCTTTCGTATTCTTGCTGACTATACTTGGTGATTTCAGATTGTTCTCCCAAAGCAGCTTGTAGCCGCCAAACCTGAGATTCAACAAATATGGGAAGTAAAAAGTGCACACATATTTATGTTGTTAAAAAAAGACCAGCTGTCAACAAAATTTAAAATTGAGAATAAGCAGGATTTTGATGTATAATTCTTGTAAGATAAGAAACAAAAAGAGTAGCATACCTCCTCAGCAAGATCCTTCTTAGGCATTTTCTTCACCACCTCAGGGGGATAACCACAAAAAGTGTTATACCTAAAGATTAAAGTGCATGAATGTCAGAAAATAAACAGCCGTTTTTAGCACTTCCATACATGCAACAGGCTACCTTATCAAACAGGACAGCCAGTAGGGTGAACGAAAACAGAGAATCGCATAGCCTCTATGTTTTGACTATAATGCCAGTAGAAATGGAAAGAGTAACTCTATTTAATCTATCCACACGCGTGCATTCCCATAAAACAGTAAAAAGGAGAATACTTGTTACTATGGGCAACCTGTAGAAAAAGGTTCAAGTTAACATTTTACTCTTTTCATTTTAAGATCTGATCCCTTCAAAGCAGCATGCAAACAAGAGATGAACCAGGGACAATGAAATTTCTTTACAGGGATTAAGACAGGAAGGATTCATATGCATAGATATAGTATGTATATTATATATTATTTATATATATATATATATTATTTATGAGAGATGGGAGAGAGGCTGTCGGTGGAGAGAGAGTAGTGGAGAGAGGAGATTATGGGTATCATGACAGGAGGGGATTTTTCCTTGACATGATGTGGCACATCCCACCATGTGAGAGGAAGGATTTACATGGTGTGTTGTGCAATCGCTTGTAAGGGAGGATCCCTCTTGTCAGGATAACGATTATTGCATTTATAGTTATAGAGAGAGAGGAAACAAGGGGTATACTTGGATCCAGGATCCTTGTTGTGATTGGAACACTCTTGTCATAATCACACCTTGAGATTGGAGTCACATCCAGTGTGATTGTAATGGACAGATGGTGTCCATCACTACCAAGGATCTTGGCCCAAGTATACCCTTCTTATTTGTATAATATTATTATTTATTAATTTATTTATTATTATATTATTTTATATATATATATATATATATATATATATGTGTGTGTGTGTGTGTGTGTGTGCGCGCGCGCGCGCGCATATGTATATGTATATGTATGTATGTGTGTGTGTATATGTGTGTGTGTGTGTGTGTGTGTGTGTGTATAACTCATGCAAGAAAAACTCATATGTTCTTCATGTTCCTGTGCACCTTACAGAAGTCCCTCTGGATTTGGGCTGAAATACGCTTCGAGCCACACTTCAAAATGTGCCTTGCTTGTGCTAAATAACTAAATAACTCTGAAAGAGCAAGTCCTTAATTTTATTAAACCAATTGTGTGGCAAACTGGCATCCAATATAATGCAGTATAGAACTTCACTTGCACTAATTTTCATAATCTTTTCTGAGGTAATCCTTTTCCTTTATTTTCCCATTTCACAAATCCTTAATTTCCCTATGCAAATGAAAACACTGGAGATTAAAAACTTTCTTCTGATAATGTTTACTATCAAAACTAATTGCATGCATATTGTATACTATAAGATGGCCATAGAAGATCAATAAGTCTAATCTGTGAGATGTGCAGGATAAATCTTAACATTATGATTTTGAAATTCCATAATCACATAGTTCCACAAGCTAAAAACTACAGGACAAGAAAAAAACAGCAACAATTGAAGAACAAAACTTTTAAGGTTTGGATTTCTTAATAGTATATACTAATATAGAACAAGTCAACCAACAAAAATCATAAGACACTGAATATTGCAGTCACAAGAATATTAGACACCAATGCATGCTACAAAGTGTATCCATGGCTCCCAGATAAACAAAAAATATAGTGCTATCCCTACACAAAGACAAACACTCATCAAGCATGTCAACATTCATTTCAAACAAGGAACCAGCAAATCGAGGATTCTCAGGTTCATAGGAGGTACGCAATAGAACCACATCTGAATTCTGATAAAAGATTAAAATCAAGTCACAAGGTATAAGATATGGCAAACATGGGTGAGTAACTTCCATCAAACAATTGTGAAAAGCTATACTTTTTATCCCCAGTAGGTGAAAGGACCACAACTATTCAAGAAAGAAATTACAAGTTATGACTGAGAAAATAGAAGGACAAATACCCAGTTGATTTATCTTGGAAAAGCCGAGCTTGTTCTTCTTTGCTACCTTCATCAATGGACCACCAACCTAGCAATCTGTACTTGCACTGAATGATGTTAAGCATGCGATAACAAAATATTGTAATAATGGTATGCACTATGGTACCCACATAAATATTGCAAAGGGCATTAGCTTCAAGATCATCCTTCAATATCATCCTCATAAGACACAAGGAGGAATGGAAATTACCTTGAACCATGATGTAGGAAAGCGAAACAATCATTAGTTCTGGATGAAATTGTGAGATATCTTTGTGTAAAGGATCCACTGCGCAGCAAAAGAACCAGCTTCTCCAGTAGTCTTGATAGAGTGAATAGGACACCAGCACCTTGCAAAAGAAAGAGTGGAGAGAAAAGAGCGAAAATTGGGATATGTCGAGCACCAGGTGGCGTACCCTGAAAA